ATGGAAAGACGTGGTGAAGCCTGCTCCAGCTTGTCCTGCGCATCCTGTGTGCGCCACACCCCCTGCCCTGCGCCCCTTCTCTTGAGAAAACCACTGTTGCTGAGCCCTTTCGCATGTTCATCTTATTTGTGGTAAGTGGCTATGCATTCTTTTCACCGTTCTGTACACGAAAGGCAGCATACTACATATAATTCTGCACCTTACTTTTGTCGCTCGACTCAGAAACCTAGGAAACCACTCTGGTCCAAAGCAGAGGTGCCCAGAGGAACACACCAGGCAGGCTGTGTCCCAAGTCCCTCACCTTCACGAGTATGTAACTGTGTAGAATCATGAGGTTGGTGACCATCTCAGAGGGAATTTTGATCTTCTGGGATTTCAATTCTGCATACATGCTGAAGAGAACGTCATGTGCGTTGCGATAGTTCCCTTGAAGAGAGGTGACAGAGCGGCATTACTGTAGTCTGGGCCCTGAGGTCTGGCCATGGCTTTCCTCATACCAGAGGTTTTGCTAGTGATTTATTACCAGTAACTTACCCATCTCTTTACACAGGAACTTAGCAGTGGCTCTGATTTAATTAATGCTGCTTTTATGTGGTCAACCCCATAGGAAGAGTGGTGATATCCTCCTGCTCTGTCACTCTTCTTCAGGATATACACTTGACCCCAGGGGGCTGGGTCATGAATTCAGGTCCTTCCTAGTCAGCGCCCCCTCCCCACAGCCACCGGTAGGTTTTCCCTCCTGTTTGGGCAGCAGTGTGCTCTCTGCTTTCCTCTCTGATCAGTCTTTCCAAAGCCTCCGGCCTCCCCCAAAGCCCAGAGCCTCCAGGGCACACCCTCATGTACCCCCTCAATCATGAAGACTACCAGAAGAGTGCCTGCTTAGCATATGCAAAGCCCTGGCATGGATCCCCAGGACCCCAAAACTGAACAGCCCCCAAAAGGCAGTAAGGTCAAGTGTAAATTCTGAATTGACTATTTTCTATCAACAGTGAAGGGCAGAATCCTGGCCAGGTTCTCTCTGGGTCCTGAGTGCCTGGCACACATCCGACAGTCTGTGTTAGAACAACGCAAACTCAATAAAGTAATGATGGACTTAGGTGCCTATTTTCCAAACTTGTAATATTTATGTACATCTAAGAACTGACTTATAAAAACTAGGGGAGATCATAGACCAAGTCTCTCATTCAAATACATATTTACAGATCATGTCAATGACCAGAGGCATTCTGGAGATTCCATACAACAGTCCCATACATGATAAAGAACCAGATCTACTACACTATGGCATAATTATCTTCCCCCTCCTATTGTTCCCACACAGACCAGGGCAAATGCATGCAATGGAAGGAACATGCTACGAGCTGCAGGGGGCTAAGGGCTGCAGAGTAGTCGCTGTCCCAGAGACAGACACTGTGAAGTCACAGTGGAGGACTAAGTCCCACTGGTCCATATCCCCAGTAATGGTGAATTATTTTGCTGCTTCAAAACCTGAAAATGGCCATTTCCTTTCTCTTGGGTTCTAAACAAGGTTAGATTAGATTTAATTTTAGCCAAACTGTTGGGAAGAGATGGGTAAGAAACTTCCACTCTTTCCTGGGCAGAAGAGGGGGGTAGGGATTGATTCTACTTCCGGTTTGAATAGTAGCTCAGTGGAAGAACACAGGCCTACCTACCATGTGAGAACCCTGGGTTCCACCCCAGAATGTGCATGAGCACACATGCACACATGTACGTACAACATCAGTAAAATAAAATAAAAAAATATATGAGGGACCTACCTGCAGACTGCTCTTCTCTGGCAATTATAATGGCAGTCCGGGCAGCTTCTCGGTATTGTTTCAGAGCCATGTACAAGCGGAACAGATACTTAGCATCCTGACACACAAACCATCAGACAAACATTGCTTATTTCATTAGCTAAAGAAAGAAGCACCCATAATTTTGCATTTTAGGGAGAGTCACATTCATGTGCCTGTAACTTTGCGAATTTGTTTTTAAAAAACTAATAAAAGAATTAGCTCAACAAACATTTATTCAGGGGTTAATATGTGCCAGGTAGTATTTTAAGTATTTAAATGTTAACTCAGTTAAATCTTCAGGCAACCCGAAGAGGAATGAGTAAAGTCCTTGTTTTGCAGACGAGAAACTGCAACACAACAGGATGGGGCGCAGTCAGGGTTTGGGCTGTAGTGATCCGGGTTCAGGGTCTGTCCTTGCCCTGGATCCACAGCATCGCTCCCGGGCGTGGAAGCCAAATGTGTTCCTATACAATGCAACAGCTTTGTGACATCTTAGCACATATACATTTTCTCTGTTCTCTAAACTTTTCTTTGGCTTTTGAACCTTTTTTTTTGTGGGATTCAAGTATCTTTTATTATGGACCCATCTCAAATCAGCAGAAAGAGCTTCAGAGTTAATATTAACAGAAATTCTTACAAAATTATTCTTAAGTTACACCTACTATGTCAAGCACAGAAGGAAAAATCCAATCAAGGAAGGAAAAGGCATTCTGTATGTTTTCGCAGCAATGGTATGTAGTCTCACATTTTGTCTGGCTACTTACCCAACTCTTATCAAATGCATCCATTTAGTCTCTCAAGAGAATGGTGTAATAGTCAAGATTCCAGAAATTCAACACAAGAACAGAATATTAAAAGCTGAGAAAAGAAACAAATACACTATAAAGGAAAGCCCATCAGAATCACAGCAGGCTTCTCAGCACAAACCCCCAAGTCAAGGAGAGCTGGAATGAGTATTTCTAGCCCTAAATAAAACAACCTCCAATCCAGATAGATGTACCCTGCAAAACTATTCTTCAGAATTAATGGAAAAATAAGATAATTCCACGACAAAGAACACCTGAAGAAATTCATGACCACCAAACCAGCACTGCAAAGTGTTCTGAAGGACATTCTTGAAAGAGATAACAAGGACTGCAACGTCATGCACCCAACAGAATGAATTCACCAGGCAAGGCAAATAACTAAATGGGGGAGGGGACACAGGAGAATATGTGACACAGATCAGTCAATACACATCAGTTATCAAAGTAAATGGATGTAAATGGTCTCAATATACCAATCGAAAGAAACAGATTGGCAGAAGGGGTCAAGATACAAGACCCAGTAATACACTGCATTCACGAAACATATTTAACTAAAAAAGCAGGAGTAGCTATTCTATTGCAGACAAAGTGGATTTCAAGCCAAGACTGATCAGAAGAGACAAAAAAGTCACTACATAACGGAACAATCCAGGAGGAAGAGATAACAATCATAAATGAACATGCACCAAATACCAGCATACCCAACTATATAAAACAAACACTAATGGATATAAAAAATCAGATGAACACTAATATAATTGTAATGTACAAAACTCCACTATCACAAATAGATCAATTAGATAAAAAATAAAAACAACAAAAATTAGAGTTGAACCAAACCTTTGAACAAAGGGTCTTAGCAGATATTTACAGAGTGTTCCATACCGCATGAACAGCAATACATAGGACTTTCTCAAAAATAAGACCACACACTAGCTCACAGAACATGCTTAAGTGAAAGCAAAGGAATAGAAATTATCCCATGCATATTGTCAGATTATAGTGCGATGAAATTGGAAGTCAATGTCAAAAATAAACCATATAAACACATGGAAATTAAGCAACAGCCTCAACAACCAATGGATAAAACAAACAAAAAAAAAAAACAAAACCAATGCATCACAGATAAAAATGAAGAAAAATGTTAGCATCTACAGTTAAAGGATAGTGCTGATGAGACATACCAGAACTTACGGGATGCAATGAAAGCAGTCCTACCAGGGAAATTTATAGCAGTAAATTTCTAAACCAGAAGTACAGACCAAGCTCAAATAACCTAATATTGAACCTCAAGATTCTAGAAAGGGAACAGCAAGTCAGGCCCAAAAATCATATGAGGGAGGAAATTATAAAGATCAGAGAAGAAATTAATGCATCTGAGGCTAAGAAAATAATACAAAGAATCAATGAATTGAGTTAGTTCTTTGAAACGTTACATAAAACAGATAAGTCCTTAAGCCAACCTTATCAAATGGAAAAAAACATCCAAATCCATGCATTTAGGAATGAAAAGGGTGAAATCACACAGACTCAGCAAAAATCCAGAAGATCAACACTTACTTTGAGAACTGGTATTGTAATAAGATAGAAAACACAGAATAGACAAATTATTGGACAAAGCTGAATCAAGATCTGAAAATTCTAAATCAATCAGTATCAATCAATGAAATTGAAGATGCAATTAAAAATTAACTAGCAAAGAAAATCCCAGGCTCTGATGGATTCTTTGCTGAATTTTACGAGAAATTTAGAGAAGATCTAACACTGCTATTCTCAAACTCTATAACAAAACCCAAAGGGAAGCAATCCTTCCAAATTAATTCCTGGAAGCAAGCATTGCCTTGAAACCAAAACCAGAAAAAGATCCAACTAAAGAAGAGAACTACAGGCCAGTTTCTCTAATGAACGTAGATGCAAAAGTCCTCAATAAGATACTGGCCAACAGAATGATGCATGGAGAGCCAGTGATTAGGTCAGGAGGACTCCACTGTCACTAACCAGCGTCCTCATCTTGGGAATGGATTCACTATTGTACATACGGGTCTCAGAAAAGTGAGCCATACAAGAAGCTCGTTGCATGCGGTAGATGGCCCTGGCCTTCAGCACCAGCAGAACATGGCCATCATAATTTCTTAGTTTTTTATAAGGGACCCACTTCAGCTATCCTTTTTGGTTGTCATTTTTTCTTTTGAGATAGGGTCTCACTATATAGTTCTGCTATTCTTATAGAGAAAACATCAAAGATAATAGCTAGAGGTAAAGCTAATTCCATTTTAATTTTTTGGATTTCTGGGGCAGGGTCTTGTTATGTATTCTATGCTGGTCCTGAGCTCACTATGGAGCTCAGGCTGGCCTGGAACTCACAGCGATCTTTCTGCCTCAGCCTCCCAAGTGCTGGGACTGCAGGTGTGCACCGTCATACCTGGCTGGAAAACTTCCACTTTGTTATGTTTAATATTCTCTATTCCGCTCGAGATAATTATAAATATACATACATATATATATATATTTTTTTTTTTAATTTAAATTTTTAATTTTTTAAATTTTTTTTGCGGAACCAGGGATTGGACTCAGGCCTTTGCGCTTGCCAGAGAAGCACTTATTCCACTGAGCCATTTCCCTGGCCCCAACATAATTATATTTGATGTCACTTTCTGGGTTACTACAGCAAATGGATATGACGGGCAGGGGTCTGGTATTATTTAAGGCCAAAGTCCCTTGGGAAATCAACCTGGCCTTTCTGGGTCTCTGGCTTTATCTGTAAGATCAAAAAAATAAGTGCAGGGATCCACAGTCCTCTCACTGGGACAGGGCTTCACCCTCTTCCAATCTTAAGCTGAGTTATTCTCAACCCTGTCTCCTGGCATAGGATGAGGGCCAGGGCTGGGCATTCTCAGAGGCTGCACAGAGCTGAGAGGAGACTGAACTTCTGAAGGGAACCCCAGGGCCTTAGCAAATAATTTCTACTTTATAGTGAGTTCCTTCTATGCTTAGTATGATTTTCGTTGAGTTCCAAAAGTTCTGAAATATGACTACAGCACACTCTGACTCTCGGGGATCAGCGCCTAGTCACTTTCAATGGTCTCCTCAGATAGCTCCTCGATAACCAAAAACATCGGGGAAAGATGCTGCATGGTGAGGGTGGTTGTCTGGAGGGACAAGGCTCTGTAGCTGGCGGGATGACTGTTTTGGGTGATGATGTAATATCCTCTGCATGATCTGCAGCTACTCAGACAGTCTTACCAGATGGTATTGCAAAGGTGAGACAGGTAAATACAGGGCCACACAGAGGGACTGGCAGACGCGATGCGGGCACCCAGAGGGCACGCTCCCTACCTTGGGCATGCCGTCGTTCTCCCCCATCAGGTGGTCTATCAGCTGGCTGGTCAGCAGCTCATCTTTGGCCTGGCCAACCTGCTCCAAAAGAAACCCCCCGTAAGTTCAGCAACTTCACCCTAGCAAGAAGGGGCAAAAGATGCTCACCTGAGGAAGTGGAATAAAACCCACCTAAAGTAAAATACGTCACAATAAAGTGCCTGAGATACAGTACAGGCTCAGGGTTCTGCTTCATTCACATGTAGTCTTCACTGATAACATGTATCCTTAAGAAGCTTTCTCTTGGATGACATCAAAGTACCTTTTCTTTTGTACACAGAGAATATCCTTGGATGTTTCAATAAAAACCTTCTGAAGGGGCCAGGGAGATAGCTCAGTAGAATAAGCATTTGCCTGGCAAGCGCAAGGGCCTGAGTTCAATCCCTGGTTCCGCAAACAAACAAAACAAAACAACAACCTTCTGAAGCCTCCGGAGCACAGCCAGAGCACTAGAGTTGCGCCTTCTACAGCCCAGAACCCCGCTCCAAAAACCTGAGTCTGAAACTTTGAGCGCCAACAAATGCTCGAGGATTTTTGGATTTTGGAGCATTTAGATCTTGCAGTGAGTATGCTCAACTAGTAGTCTATACCAGTATTCTGAAATCCAAAAAACTCCAAAATCTGAAGCACTTCTGGTTCCAAGTGCTTTGGGTAAAGACATTCAACCTGTACAACAATAACCCATGGGCGCCCTCAGGGGCTCGGTGTAAAGGAAAGAAATGAGTGTAATAACCATGGGGGCCCAGTGGAGGGAGGCAGTGAGAACCAAGTGGAGCTGCGGAGAGGTCCCTGGCTTAAACATCTCAAAAATCAAACCAAACCAAAACAGCTCTTTCCTTTATCTCTGGGTAATTGAATATGATGGGGTAAAAGTTCTGTATAAAAACATTATAGCAGTTGACACAGAAGCAATAATAGAATGTCAATATTTTACAATGACTAATAAAGTAGAAAAGCCCCACTGAGAAATAGTTGGTCAGTTCCTCTGTGGACTTGCGGTTCTACTCCTCAGCAGTATTACCTAAGAGAAATGCAAGCACACACCCCCACAAAACTGCACACCGATGCTAATGAAGCATTACCCATAACAGCTCAAGGAGCGGAAACAGCTCTTCTGTGCAACTGATAAGCAGACAAGCAACATGCGGTGGAGTATTATCAAGCCAAACGAAGTCCTGACACAGGTTACAACAGGGAGGAATCTTGAAAACATGGTGAGTGAAAGAGGCCATACACAGAAGGCCACATAGTGTATGATTCCATTACATGAACCGTCCATGACAGGCAAATCCAGAAACGGATATATTAAAATACATAACATAGTGTGGTATTAGCACAAGGTCAGATTATGAAAACAATGGAAGCAACTAAAGAATCCCAGATAGAGAAATAGATAAACAGGAGCAGAGTCATTTTTAATATTCCACAGTAATTTAGTGGGGAAAGATGGCATTTTGATAAATGGTAGGAGGACAATTGGGTATCCACATGGAAAAAACAACTTGACCCTCACACCTAATACCATATACAAAACCCCATTCAGGGTGGGCAGAAGCCTGATTAAGAAAACTAAACTATCAAAGTTTAGTTTGCTAACACCTGGGAGGCAGGTGTGGTGGCACACACCTGTAATCCCAGCGCTCGGGAGGCTGAGGCAGGTGGATCACTGTGAGTTAAAGGCCAGCCTGGGTTATATAGTGAGCTCGAGGCCAGCCTGAACTGCATACTGAGACTATGTCTCAAAAAGACCAAAAAAACAAAAAAACAAAAAAACAAAAAAAAAAAAAAAAAGAAAAGAAAAAAAAGAAGTATCTTCATGACGTTGGATAGACAGGTATTTCTTAAACTGGACTAAGAAACAACAACTCTAAGAAATTCCTAAGTTAGACTTAAGGATGGAAGACTTAAGGAAGGCAACAGTGGAAATGAGAGTGGCAGGAGGAAGGTGCGCAGGAGCCAGGCTAGAATACCCTGGTTGGCATACTGACTAGGAGGTGACACGAGGGAGCTTTTGGGGGACCTGAGAGGGTGAGGATCTGTGAGGTTCAGAAGATACTGAGCTGTACACTGGACGCTTTGTGAGCTCACCAGATGCAAGCTGCACCTAAGGAATTCACATGTTCTTATCTTTTAGACGGGAAGGGAAGGAAAGGAAGTGATATGGTAAGTGAGCTCTGCTCTACATGACCCAGGAAAGTGGGTGGCAGACGAGCAAGATGTGGGTGGACAGATGTTGAAGGCAGATGATGGGCAGGTGAGACTCAGTGTTTGGACAACTTTTGCATACACTTAAATATTTCCAAATGCTTTTTAAAATACTGGCATTCTTAGAAGTTTTGTTACTTACAGTTTCAATCGCCATTTCTATTGCCATATTGTCTTCTGAGCTTGGGCATTTCAGGAAGTGTTTCAGCGCCTCAAATGAGAAAGGCACAGCAGTGAAAAACTTCAGACTGCATTTGTACTGGGAAAAAGACTTTCACATACGCAAAGTAATCACAGTTTGCAAAGGTCTTTTCATCTCAATCAGGGCTTGCAAGTGCCCAGCGGACTTAACATACACTGCAAGGCTAGGGACCTGGTTTAAAAAGTCAGACCGTTACTTCTCTGGACTTCTAAGGAGAATATTAAAATGCAAAAACAGTAATCATAACTTGTTCCTTAGCTGCCACTCCCTGACAGAGGCCACTGTGCACACGGGAGGGGGCTTTGTCCTGTGAGCAGCCCTGGAAGGGACTGTGATCCTCCTCTTTTGAGGTCAGGTACGGCCTTACTGGGGAGATGCGTGCAACACAGTGACAACGAAAGGAACCAATTACTTAAAGCCAGAAAGGTCTAAGTCCTGAACATCAGACCTGTGAAGAAATGAAACAGCTTAAAAGACAAATGGGCAGTGTTGCCGGCTGGTTTGATAGGCATGGTGAGGAAGCAAAGGTTTATGCCTGGGGATGGCCGGAAGGTAACAGTGGAAATGAGAGCGGCAGGAGGAAGGTGTGCAGGAGCCAGGCTGGAGGTTCAGAAGTGCAAGGCGGAGGAGGTGGAGGCAGAAGGGCCAGAGGGGAGTGAGGCTGTTGAAGGCCTGACAGGGAGTTGGGTGCCAGATACTCCTGTGGGTGCAGGAAGGACAGAGGCTCGGGCGGCTGACTGGCCCAGCGGGGTGTGTGTTCTTCTGGGTGCCAGCTAAGAAGTCTGGACTTTTCCTACAGGGTTGGAAAAGCATGTTGGGAGCTTGCAGGCTGGATTCCCAGGTAGATGTGTTTCCTTTGATTAGAGAGCTATTGTGTGAATACAGGGGCCAATTTTCAAAGCTGGGAGGTAAAGACTTCCGTCTCTCTTGGAAAAACAAAAATCACAAGACTTGGCATTGCTAGGTCCTGACTCTTTTTTTTTTTTTTTTTTCCAGATTTCATTAAAATTTATTCAACCTTATTCAAAGTGGAGAAAGATTCCCACCTGTTAGATAGGGTTCCATTTAGTTTCTGATTAAGCTACACATTAAATCTAAAGTAGCCTAATTTTTAGTAAATTTCACAAAAACTAGTCAAACTTTTTGACAAACAGAAATATGTTCAATACTATCTAATGGAATATTAAAGGCCAGACCACTGTTTTTCATGGTCTTGCAAAATGACTTTTTTTTTTCTTTTTTAAATGTTTTAACAATAATAAGAAAACAATAAAAATGATACAGAATATCAAAATAAGAGATTGGAAATTAACCGTGGTTGTCATATTGCATATTGTTTTCTTCAAAGTAGTTGTTTAGATTAGCAGATATAGGCATAGAAGACTGATCAAACAATGTTAGCATTAACTGTTTCTCTCAATGAACTAAAGGAAATTAGTAGTACAATTTTCTCAGCTAGTATCCTTCCTTTTTCCCAGTTGTTCTTTCCTTTTGAGCAGTTTGTGTCCTTTTCATGCTATCAATTGTACCTTTTGTATCTTTTTTACCCTTTTAGTTTCTTATACTAAGGAGATGATATGCAAGTCTGATTTATGTCACTTATGAGTATGGTCTCTGGGTCATCCATATACATATAAAAGCCTTGAGTTTGTCTTTCTTTATAGCTCAATAATATCCCATTGTATAAAAATATCACATCCTAAAAAAAAAAAAATCACATCCTTTTTATCCACTCTTTGGTCTATGGACATTTGGTTGGTTCCAAAATTTAGCTATTATAAATTATGCTACTATAAATGTGGATATATATATATATATATATATATATATATATATATATATATATATATATATATATATATATATATTTTTTTTTTTTGGTGGAACCAGGGATTGAACTCAGACCCTTGCACTTGCCAGGGAAGAGCTTATTCTACTGAGCCATCTCTCTGGCTCCTGGGTGCACATATATTGCTGCAGTATTATTTTTCAATTCTTTGGGGAAGATACCTAGAAGAGGAATAGCTAGCTCGAATGGCACCTTCAATCCTAGTTTTTTTAGAAATCTCCACAACACTGATTTCCATAGTAACTGTACCAGTATACACTCCCCACCAGCATTTGTAGGCTGACTTCTTAGGGATAGTCATCCTTTGTGGAGTGAGATGGTACTTCGGTGTTGTTTTAATTTGCATTTCTTGGATGACTAGATCCTGACTCTTGACCGGTACCAGTGTGCCTCAGGAGGGCAGCAGCTGCTCCTGCACACAAGATATGTGCGATTCAGCTGTCCCTACAGTGTCACACAGTCAGCAGGCAGCTTTGCCCCAGGGCTAAACATGCCCCATCTCTCGTGTGGACACTGCAGCCCCTGCCTCAGGCAAAGCAAATACTGGGGAAACATTGAAGGATGAGGTACAAGCAGAGAAAGGAAGCAAGGAAAACAGGAAACCACTGCAGTATCAGGGAAAGTGATTTGGGCTTGGGCTGGGTTGGTGGTAGTTAGAATGAAAAGGACAGGTAGGAGAGATTTTAGGAAGGAAGACAGTGACTGGTATGGGAAGGAGAGAAAGACTGCACAGCGGACACTGGGGGCTATGGCGGTGGGCAGCTCTGTGCCAGACCTCACGTCTCCTCAGTGTGCGGAGGCCCTGGGTCATCGCCAGTGCAATAACAGATAAGGTCACTCCGAGATTTCAAATATGGGTGTCTGGGATGATGATGGTGTTAAAAACAAGTATTTCCCTTATCATTCCTCGAGAGTCCAGGTTATGTTTTCTTGGCAAATACTAACTCGTGAGTATTGGCCGCACAGAAGGAAGAACTTTCCAGCCTGAAAATGTCTTTTTTCTCCTTCAAAGTATAAGGCAATGCTTTGGTAGTCCTCATTGGATGTGTCTTCAGAACCTACAATGGAAGTTCACCAAGTGAGAAGTCTGAACAGAACGCTTTTACCTTTTATTGCTAGCCTACAACTATGATCTAAGAAGGGGTGACCTAAAAACAGGCGAGTAAAAACTCTTACAGCAAGGACCGATGTTATGATTAATGTCTATTTTTATGACAAAGCATAGTCATGGTAACCAACTATTAACTCTGCTTCATCTTTGCTTCAGTCTGAACAGGGATCAGGAGAGAAAATTATTATGAGGCTTTTATGAGAATCCAGGTTATAGTTTGCCATTAGCCTTGGAAACCTTCATCACTCTTATTTCCTAAAACAACAGGGACCATTAAAATTATAAGCTCAGCCACAGGGCTGAGGATGTAGCTCAGTGGCACGAGTCTGCCTGACAAGTGCAAGGTCCCGAGTTCGATTCCCCATACCAAAAAACCAAAAGAACAATAGTCCATGTGTGTAACAGTCATGGGGGAAGAGGACACCCACAGTGGCCAAAGTGTGCTAGGTACAGACGGTAATCTTCTTCTACTAGCATTTTCTTTTGGTTTAGGGCTTTTAAATTTACGAAGCACAGAGAAGGGAGAAGCCCCCGGCTGCTAGAGATCCAAATCATTGTTGATGTTTGAGATGGAGGCTGGGGAGGTACTGAAGAGTAGTAACAGCCTACACCTCCAGCCCGCCAGACACAGAGTCTAAAAGACAAAGGCAGGGCCGGGGAGATGGCTCAGTAGAATAAGCACTTGCCTGGCAAGTGCAAGGGCCTGAGTTTAATCCCCGGTTCCACAAAAACAAACAAACAAACAAAAAAAGCATAGAATAAGGTGGAAAAAAGTGTGTGCTTTGGTGATGGGAGAAAAAAAAATCTATACATTTCCTTTCTAAAGGTAAGTTATATCCTTATGGATTTACAAAAACTTAAGTACTTTTGTACAATACTTATTTGTAATTTTAGAACAGAAATATCATGTCAAGCTAAACATCAGCATTGTGAACTTGCTTGTATCTGTACTGCTTCTTCATCTCTTTATTTACTTGAGCTATCTTAACGACTGCCCAACACATGTTCCTTTGAAGACGGACACAGAAATCTTCTCATGAATCCGGCCAGGGATAAGGTCACTTAGTGATTTTTAAAAAAGAAAGTAACACAAAAGGACAAGTTATTTGATGACTCTGTGTATACAAGGTGCCACAAACAGTCACATTAACAAAGAAGAAAGTCGTATAGTGATTACCAAAGGTGGGCAGAGAGTGGGCGGGGAGTAACTATTCACAGAGGACAGAGCTTTAGAGTAGGAAGATGAAGTCCCTGCTGAAGGCTGCACCAGCATGAATGTACGCAACCTAACAGAACTGCTGGGGAGCGAACCCAGGGCCTTGCGGATGTTAGACAAGTGCTCTATCACTGACCGATACCTCCTGCCACAGAAACAAGTAGTTTTAAATGGAAATTTTATGCTATATAAATTACATATGCCCATAAAATCAAAATCTGGACAATTGCAACTATGGGAAGAAAACCTAAAAGCAGGTATTCTCAGAATAAAAATTCTCTTTTGGATCATTAAAATATATATATATTTTTAATTTATGTGTTTGGTACAGGGTCCTGCTATGCAGCTCAGACTCGTAGTGATCCTCCTGTCTCAGCCTCCTCAGCACAGAGATTGCAGGTATGTGCCACCATACCTGCTTTTGGTGGCCGGCTCAGCAGGCCTGGGGTGGGACCAGTAGGGCATGAAGTACTGGGATCAAATTGAGGTCCTTGGGCTTGTCAGGCAGGCACTTAGACTGCTGAGCTATCTCCCAAGATCCATTAAAATATTTTTGAAAAACTTGAAAACTTCATTCTTTTTTTTTTTTTTTTTTGGCTGGCTCAGTTTGCCTTAAGGTGGGGACTGGTGCAGCATGAGGAGCTGGGGAGCGAACTGTGGTCCCTTGCACTTGACTGAGTTTGCCCAAACAAGTGCTTTAAACAACAGAGCTAACCAGCAAGCCCCCGAAAAACTTCATTCTTTTTATTAGTACGTATCTGTCATACATATTGATCATATTCATCACAGTGCATAACACATCTCAATTCTTTATTCCTATCTCTCCTCTCCCTCCTACGCTTCCTCCTCTTTCTACTTATACAAGATTTATTTCTATTTTTCCTTCCATTCTCTTTTTAATTTCCTTTTCGGATCTTTAAAATCTCTATCTATCTATCTATCTATCTATCTATCTCACTCTTTTTTTTTTTTTTTTTTTTGCAGAACCAGGGATTGAACTCAGATCCTTGCGTTTGCCAGTCAAGCGCTTATCCTACTGAGCCATCTCCCCGGCCCCTATCTCACTCTTAAAGTAAATTATATATATATAATTTCAGTCCTGGGGATCGAACTCTGGACCTTATACATGCCAGGCAGGTATTTATGCTGCTGAGCCCTCCCTCCAGCACCAGTAATAATATATTCTTAACTCATAATTCACTTTACCTGTACTTTTTTTGTTTTTGGCGGAACCGGGGATTGAACTCGGGCCCTTCTGTTTGCCAGGCAAGCACTTATTCTACTGAGCTATCTCCCTGGCTCTTCATAATTCACTTTAAAAATTTTTTAAAAATATTTACAGTTTCTAAAATAATCCTATACTTCCTATTATCTTCATAGTAAAATAGTGAAATCTTGTTTACATCTCATGGTTGATAAATAGCAGGGTTTGTGAAATCTGTCTTGAAATTCACCCCAAAGACCTTAGTTTTTGCCACCAATACTTTTCTTCATGTGGTAATACGACCTTATCTGCTAGCAGGGATCTTGACACGGGCAAGTAACACAGATGTGTGCTGATACACAAGTGGTGCTCAGGGACAAGTACGTCCTGGTGTGCACACCGTTCTGGTAACTGGATCAGAAGAGTCAAAGCGTCTGAGAGAACACAGGGAAAGCAGTGATATTTACCAATGATGTCTGCATAGATTTCCATTTGGTTGTGCTGCTGGGCCAGAGTGAAAGCTTCGTTGTTACACTTCGACATGACAAGGAACTGGATGGCAGAGCCGTAGTCACCCAGCTGCAGGAAAAACCTACAACAAAACGCTTGCATCAGATTGACTCTCACAGAGGACAAGCTTGTCATTTACAAAACAAAATCTTCCTGAACCAGAAAATAAAACAATAATTTGTAAACTGCAGTTTTGCATTATACATATACGTGTGACAAGCACACTCTCAAAAGGTGGCCGTAACAGTCTTTCAATTTAAATAAACCCTTGGACATAATTCCAAAAAACCCTCAAAAGAATAAATGTTCTTTTTGAGTTGAGGTATTTGACAAGCTGAGGCAGGGCCTTTCTTCTGAAGTTAGTTTTGGGGACTCCGAGGACTGTCTGGGTCACCTGGCCACCATCTTGGCTCCATCCAGAGACTGGGTCTCTCTGACGATGCTGACGGCCTTCTCCGGGTTATTGAGGTGGTCCAGGTAGAGGCGGATCACACTGTTCCACTGCTTGGCATTCTCATAAGCCACGACAGCTTCCTTGTATCTGGAAGAAATACTCAGTTCAGACAAAGTCTCTAAGCACTCCCCACTTGGTGGTGCTGGTGGGGTGATGTGTATAAATATTTGGGGCATTTCTCTATTGTACTGATGGCAACTTCTTTAGTCTAAATGTCTTTTACTCTTATCAGAAAAAAAAACTGTTGCATAAAAATAAGTTCTTTTCAAGAGTTTAAGAACAGCACGAATGCAATACTGTACTGCAGTTTTTACATGTGAATCAAAGCTTCTATACAATTTACATTTTACTGTTTTTTTTCTTTTCTAGTGATAAGATTATGGTAACAATATAGGATTATTGTGGAAAACAGAAAATACAAAATTCATAATTACAGCGATCTATAAAATAATTGTCATTTTTAAGTGACATACAAAAATCTCTGTGTTGACCTCTAGGGGGCGCTCAGTACTTCTTTTCAGTCTGGACAAATTCCAGCTCTTTCCTTTTTTCACAAGACATTAAATCTCTATTTCCCAAGGTTACTTTTTTCTAAAAGTGAAGGGTAGTCCTAAACTTTAAAAGTCTCTTAATAGATATTTACAAAGTTACTTCTCAAGGGCCACAGAAATGTACATTATTATCAGGTATAACAAGTGCACTCTGATTATACAGTTACGAAACTAAATCTTTCCAAATATGAGAGCACATTCTTATTAGAATTCGTGAGGCAAAACTTCTTCCTGTTCACAGAAATACAATCTCAAATTGTATTTCCTTCTCTGGAACTTGCTTTCATGTCATTAGTCCCTTTTCCTATTAGCGCCTGTACGGTTCTCAGTTGTTGATCTTGGCATTACAGCACTGCCATGTTTAGTATTGTTTTCCAGCTTAAAAGTGTACCGTCTCTCCCTAAGTCTGGAATACATGTTTCTGCACTTTTCTTTCCTTCTGCACTGTTAAGTCATCCTTCCTTGAAAAGTGACAATCATTTAACTCCCATTTCATACCATGTCATAGTAGAATTTCAATGTCCAGTATTTAACACTCAAAGAGAGACCACTGCCTCTCCTGGAGCACATAAAGCAAAGGCGCAAGTGTGAGATACAGGAAGATATTAAAGTCATGCCCTGAGGCCAGTCAGGGCGTACAAAGAGATCATCTGTCTTTCTTTGCTTTCCTTTTCGCAGATGGTTGTAAACATTAGCGGTTAATGTATCAAGCTTACACAACTTTACACGCCCTGCTGTTGGGACACGCGTGACCGTCTCATTGGCAGCTCCTACTGCAGACAGGACTGTCCCATGCTGCCTGATGGGACACTTGTGCATGTAGCACCTACAAGTGGCTCAGAGCCTTTGGCAGTGAGACATATGAATTATGGCCCCGCCGGGAACATGTTCCATTTGGATAAATCTGAGAAGCCACAAACCTCCCATCTGCTTCTTTAGCTTTGGCATACTGCAAGTGGATCTTCGGAGAAGAGACGTGAGGCAGAAGCTCGCCAACTTTTGCCCTACAAGGAAGAGTCAAGGAGAACGGTATCAACAGCAGCTGCCTACAACTGAATGCCAGGTTTTAGGATTTAAAAAACAACCATCATTATCTTTCAAGAATCTTGGCTTCTTTAGGTAAAAGTAGAAGTAGGAGCTTTTTTTCTCCCTACTCCCACTCACCCGAAAGTGGGAGGATGAAGGTTAATTCATGGATTCTTCTGGGCTAACAGGGTTTTCATTTGTTTTTCCCTAGTAACTTACCTCATCAGAACTTCCCTGTACAAACCAGCAGAATGTCCTGCTCTTTAGGAAAGAGTATTAATATGATCTTGTCTGTGCAGCAAAGCCAGAGAGGGAAGGTGGGTCTGGGTATAGACAGAACAGCAAGGAGCGAGTGTGCAAACCCCGACACACTCACTTCTATGCTGACGTGGAGCACTGTGGGCAGCCAGCCCTTACCAGTTCTTGCAGCGGATGTAAACAGATGCGGCTTTGTCGTGGTAGAGGCCCTTTTCGTACAGCTGGGCTGCTTCTGAAAATTGCTAAAACAACACAGAGTTATTAAAATATGGAACTGGGGATGCAGAGGACCTCCTCACCAGGTCTGCAGAGTGAGGGTTACCTTCATATTCTCCAAGATGGCTCCACAGTCTCTCTTCAGGATCCTGCTGGGGTGCTGGAGGGCTTGGTGCACGCCTCGGCGGATGTCGCCCATCCGGATGGACATCTGGGCCACACCAGCCAGGCACAGCTCGTCGTGGTCCTACAGGGAGGGAGCAGTGTCAGCACACGGGGCTCTAACTCAATGCCTGCAGCTCAGCTGCTCTGAAGGTTTCGGTTTGCTTCCTTTTTGAGGAGGTCTACAATTCTGAAGTAACAGAGTCTTTGGATTTTTTTAAACCAACTATTACAGTGTCCTAATTTTTTTCTTTAGGAGTCTAGATCTTTCACTTTTTTTTTTTTTTTTTTTTTTTGCAGTACCGGGGATTGAACTCAAGACCCTGCACTTGCCAGTCTTCTACTGTTTAACGAAAATATTTACTATCATTTGTGATAATACTGCATATGGTACTTGGCACAGTATTTTATATAAGTAGTAATATACTGGGCTATTGTAACACAAATACCATGAATAAATTTAGGGGAAAATCATTTCTCAAACAGAACATTTCTGCACCAGGCATGATTGAACATAAAAGCTTTGTTTATTTAGAAGTGTTTCATTCATTAAAGATAGCAAGCTGGGCACGATGGTGCATTCTGGCAATTCCAGCACCTAGGGGGCTGAGGCAGGAAGAGTTAGGGTTTGAGCCACGTTGGACTACATAGTGAGGTCCTATCTCAAAATATAAAAATAACAGTAATGATGATGATGATGAAGAAAACTAAAGCATTTTTCTATAGCTAATCTGTTCTAGTAAAATGCAGTTTACATAAGAAGCATGTTTAGTAGAGCTTTTGGTGATCACAGAAATGTGCGTCGGCCCAAAACATGATAGCTAACAGTCACAAGTGGCTAC